GACTGGCAGGTCTGTTTGCTTTGAAAAATCTCAGGAGTCTCTGATGCCTAACTCATGATTTCTGAATGCTTGGAACTGGCCGTACTGTGTATATTCTTAGTTCTCATAGGATTTTTTTAATAAAATATTCACTTTCTTAAATCGCAGTAAATTCTAAACATTTAGTGAATATGTTTGTCTGCCTTTAAAAAAAAGAGATCTTATGTCCCATTCCCAGGATTACATGGTAAACAGAGCATAAAATTCGACTGACCCAATTTGTGCAACAGTGTGAATGTCACACCCAGTGTCACCCAATTGGACAATGGCATTTTTTTGCTTGGCTCTTGAACTGTAAGTGAAGAGTTATCCCATTGCTCAGCATCTTCCTTCACAGGCATTCTATAAGAATAAAATTCACCCGTGTTCACAGCCTTTACAGATCCTACATGCCAACTTAAACCTGTAATGTGGACTGTGAAAAAATGAATTTCACTCAAGAAGAAAAAAACAAATGCAGACTGAGAAATTCATTGCTTATGATGCACTTCCAGTCTGTAGGGTTCCATGCTTATTGTCTGTCCAGGATTTTGATAGCAATGAATAGCCTAGCACAGGGGCAACCAACTTTCTGGGCCCGCATCCTGGATGAGTGGCATAGGGTCAGTCTATAGACCGGATCCCTCTCAGGGCCATGGGCCCAATCTGGCATCACACCAATCTGGCCACCTGCTTCTCAGCATCTTGGTCCAGGTTCACACCACCCTGATTCAGCTCTGCATCACTTGCCTACCAGACTGAGCAGTGTGCAGGGCCACTTCACCCAGACCACAGATTCAGAAATTAGGCAGCAGGACAGCAGTAATTAACACTGGTACCACTCCCCCACCATCACATTTCTGGACCTTTCAGGAGTCCTGTAGGCTGGATAATATAGCTCCATGGGCCAGAGCTGGTCTAGCGCAGGGGTAGCCAGCCCATGACATGCATGCTACAAATGGCATGCTCATGCTTTTCTCACCCTTCTAAGTAAAGTGAAGAGGCCTTGGAGCAATGGTAGGAGTGGGACTGGGTCACGGCTCTGAGTAAATTGGGGAGGGGAAAGTTGGAGTGGAAATCTACACTCTCCTCACTCACCTCCTCTGCTGCTCCATGGTGAAGTGAGCCCCACTGGAGGGGTGGGCAGGAACATTCAATGCTGCTGGCTGCAGGTAAGACTGGTAAGAGCCTCCTTCTCTCTCTACACTCTCTGGCACTCAGCTCCCCCCTACTTCTACACCACAGGGCACAGGGAAGCTTTGCCCAAGGCATAACACTTATTAGTTATGCCCCTGACATGGCCTGGCCCTGCCCAGCAGTTCCAGACCAGACTGCATCAGCTCTGAGTCCTGGGAGCCCAGAGCAAGACTGGTTCTGTCACTACCCCTCACCAAGCCAAGTGGCCCCAGAAACACAGCAAGACACTCCTCATACAGTCCCATGTGCCACAGTGCTGCCACCACACTGAGCCCTCTGTGACACCTGGCCTGGGGTTCCAGCATCACTGCCCCTCAAAGAGTCCTGCCACCAGGATCCCATAGGGTGGCACTGCCCCAAAACCAAGCCCTTAGATACGTTTCATCCCAATGCCCAATGGAATCAGCCCCATGGATGCAGGTGCCATCCAGATGGGCTCCGAGGGTGCAACAGAAGGGAAGCCCATTAAGAGAGTTCCCGCTGAAAGGGCTGCCCAGCGTGGGGTGAAAAACTTGCTCTTCTCCAGGAATTATCAGTTAAGAGCAGCAGCAAAGCCTTCCAATTAAGCAAAACCCCAAACTACAACAGTTTGGAACAAAGCCATTTCCTCTCTAGGCTGCAGTTTTTCAGTTTTCCTGCAAAGCTTGGAGTCAAGGTCAAAACAATTCATTCCCTTCCTCTTGTTCTAAGAAGGACATGCAAGCAGTTTTCCTCCTGCCAGCAACTTTTCCTATGAGGCAAGTGGGTATATTACATGCCTCTCTCCTTACCAGAATTTGTCCTAATGTGGCAGACAGGGAGAGATCTTGCCTCTGCCTCCACTATGAAGCTTCTAGTCATGTCATTAAAGAAATAGTAAGATTTTGTTTCTTCCCACCCACCCCCAAAAGCCCCTATATACATAGCATGCCAATTCAGTAGCATGCCAAGAAGCACCAAAGTGAGACAATCTGCTCACACTACCTCCAAACAATGTAGTTGTCTTTTCATGTGGCACTGAGCACACCCCGGTGAGTTCTCTCCATTAAAAGAGCTTGGGAGAGCTCACTGGCAAATGCCAAGCACTTCTATGTTATTTCTGTTTTAGAAGGCAGTACATGTGAAAGAAACACAGCATGCACCACCATGGCACTCCCTGGCATGGTACTGAGGTATTATTCTAGGATCAGTCCCTTCCTTCAAGAATCCTGCAGATAGAATCCTATTATTTCCTAGGCAAAGGTGTAGCAAGGCTTCTTCCCACCACACAGAGGTTTCATGCCACATTATAAAGTAAAAAACAAACTAGCATTGCTGTCAAGAGAGATTATTAATCCAGACTGTAATAAACTATGGATAAAATAATAGAATGGAAGAACATGTAACTCTGTCTAAAAAAACACAACATGAAAGGGACTCAAAAATGTCAGTTTAAAAATAAAAAATGTAAAAATACAGAACACCAACAGTGTCAAAACTCAGCCCACCCTCATCTGTTTTTCAGTGAAGAGACATGGAAAGCTGGGGAAGGTTGCAGATGTGCACCCCAAATTTGTGATAAGAATTAATAGTGCCCAAGATATTATAGATAACACATCAAAGCAATCTATAATTGCTTTCTTACAGATGCAGTAACAGATCATGTGTTGCAGCAACACTAACAGTACTCACTTGTGACATGCATATCATGAATGCCAGTTAGAATTACTTACTGTTTCAAAACCCTGATGGGGGTGATCAGGAAAGCCGGCTGGTTTCCCACCTTTGAATTCATCAAGCAGCAGAAAAGGATCCAAATTTCTTAACTGGAATAAAAATAATTTAGGGCACTTAGACACAGATTTTTTTTTATCAACTTCTGCTTTTACTGCCACATATAAATCATGAAACTGTAAGGAATACTGACTATCATAGATAGATAGATAGCATTCTGTCCTTCACTCATCTCCCTTCAAAATTCTCGATTAACTTTCACTTAGATCAATCCTGATAAAAATGAAATTGTAGAAACTCAACTACTCCCATGCAAAGCATAACATTCAAAATACTTTCTTAACATTTATACGCACTAGTTTTAAAATAATTAAAATATATTTACAGAGTGGTAACAAACTAAAAAGAGCCTTGTATTCTTAACCTCACTATCCACTCACACCAAAGCATGAATAAATAGATTGATCTCCTGGGCATAGTGGAAGGTCTATGGATGCTGATTCTGAAGGATTAGGTGAATTCAAGAGCCCCAAAGTCAAGATAACTCCATATCACAAAGTCCCCTATTAGAATCATAGAAAATGAGGGTTGGAAGGGACCTCAGAAGGTCATCTAGTCTAACCCCCTGCTCAAAGCAGGACTAGCCCCAACTAGATTATCCCAGCCAAGGCTTTGTCTAACTGGGTCTTAAAAACCTCTAAGCAGTAACATAGTAAGGGAGGGACAAGCAGGGCACCAAAGCGAAGGGATGCCAACAGGCGCTTCCCAGCCAGGCCAGGGTGTGGGACAGAGCTGTAAGTGGCTCATTTGGGGGGGGGGCAGGGCATGAGGACAGAGGAAGGGTGGCTCCCACCCCTGCATGCATGCCTGGGCAAGCATGGGGGAGCATGTGCCCCCCCCCCCCCAGATCTGTGCGCAGGGTGAGGGCAGGCTGCCACTGTGGGCTTTGCCCTGGGCACCAAACTTCGTTGCTACAACACTGCCGTCGAGGATGAAGATTCCACAACTTCTCTGAGTATAAAATTATAGAAAAAAATTGAAAAGCTTAACTCAGGAGCTGGCAACATTTTCAAGCTACAGGTCAGAACTACCCAGTGACAGTCCAGAGCAAGCTGGGAGATTTTGGTAGCAAGCCAGCAGGGAAGGGAGTTTCCCTGTACCCATGCCAGGACTAGGAGGCTGTGCTGCTGCTTTTCTCAGTCCCTGGCTCCCCAGGAGGACTGCAAAGGCAACTTCTAGAAGGGGGCAACTACACCAGGGCTGGGCTTCCAGAAATTATGCCCATGCTGCTACTTCTCCTCAGCTCCCCCTTCCAGCTGCAGCATAGGCATGGCTGAAAGCTGCCCAACCCTGGCTCAATTACCCACCAGCTAGAAGCTACACCAGCGCTACAGCCAGGAAGCAGAAAATGAGAAAAAGCAATAGTGATGCAGGTGCAGTTTCCAGCTACCCAGCCCCAGCACAGCTGCTCAGCCCCAACACTAGTGCAGTGAGCCAAAATCCTTCAGCTCCATGGGCCAGATTCGGTGGTTCCACAGGCTGTAAGTTGCCAACACCTGCCTCAGCTCACTTTAACTGCTAACACAAAGTTAAAGCAGCAGGGTGAAAGATGATAAGTAGCCAAACACATTAGACCTCTATTAGGACCAAGATGAACCAGCATCTTTGAATTGTAGCTAGACAAAGTAGGAGCCAGCACAAGCTTTGGACAGCACAGGTGTAATATGAACTCTGTGTGAAACTTCACTAAGCAAGTAGACAACTTGATTCTTCAATAGCAGTTTTCTCAAGTTCCTAGGGGTAGCCTCAGTAGTGTTGACTGTACTAAACCAGTCTCAGGGAGTCTGAAGCTGTTGGCAGATATTAATATGATCACACTCTTGGGATCTGAGGAATTTTATTGCCAATCCCTCAAAAATTGTGTGTCCTTCCATGCCAGATCCTAATCGTGTGACTGCATCAGCTGCAGCATGGAGCTTTGGATGTCCCTGAGCACAGATCCAGTGGGGGACATCTTTGTGGCTTGTTTGCCATTTTATCATACTATAAATTCCCTGAACGTGTGACATGATAAATGTCTGCCTATGACATACATATCTGGTATGCTCCTCATCTGTAAGCCACAATCTCCAATCCAAAGTGGAAATACTGTATATTTTTAATTCAACTGCTGCTCATTCATTTAAGACCAGTGTAACAGGGAGCCAGAGGCTTCTGTTACTAAAAAGGGGAGACACACACTTGCTGTGAAGGCAGATAGGCAGCTGAGAGAGAGGCCACATGCAGCAGACCTAAGCAGCAACAGGGAAGACTGGGCTATTCATTAGACCTAAAGGCAAACATCTGTGTGAGCTAGCAAGTCATCTGACTCAAATAGGGCAGTAGCTTTGGAAGATAAGCTGGATGCCTTGGGGAAGGGAGACAGGCACCTTGCAGGGAGCAGAGTTCTCTGGGGAAAGCAGCTGCACAAGACCCCCTTGCAGATGCTGAAGTGCTCCAAAGGCAGAGTGCAGAGAGCCCAAGGGATGAGGGCTGCTCTAAGTTCATTTACCCAGCATGGGAGGAGGTTTTGATTCAAGCCATAGCCTGCCTTTTTTTTCTCTAATGTTTGTTTACCCAGGGCGGGTTGGTTTTAATTAAAGTAACAGCTTGCCTTCATTTTCTAGTTCAGTGTTTCTCAACCCGTGGATCACAAGAATATAGGAAAGGTCACAGATGAGCTTTAAAAATGGATTGTCCTTTAAAGGGGAAAAATGTGGAAAACTGGCTTTTCCCTTGCAGGCTGGCAGAGTTTCAGTCTGCAAGGGCCTGCTTGGCCCTTGTCCCCCACACACCCACCCTGTTGCACACACTTGGGGGGCTAGGGCCTGGGGGTGTGCGGCAGCAGGACAGAAGTGAGGGGCACTGGGTCAAGACTGGCCATTGAAGTTTACAAATGGGTCCTGGTACAAAAAGGGTTGAGAACCACTGTTTGAGTTTATACCGGCAGACCAGGTGTAGCTAAAAGCAGTGAAGAGGCCACAGGGGTGCCCAAGGGGCACATGGAGGTTTAAGCTCTACCAGAGCCTGGGCTCAGGACATAGGCACATGGAAACCAAGAGTGTAAAAAGTTTGAAATAGGAGATGACCTAGGGCTTTGAGGGCTAGAGCAAGAGCCCAAGGAGGATGACTTGGGCCAGGATCTCAAAGTGGGTGTCTGGGGCCAGAGGCCCAGAGTGGGAGTCAGGGCTGCTGCCCAAGAGCCAAAGTCTGGCACAGTGGACCTTGGCTAAAGGGAGGCTCATCCAGAGAAACAGGAGCCAAAGCCGAAAAGGCTGAAGCCCCCAACCAAAGGTGGATTAATTCAAGGACCTGCTGGGCACTGGTCCAGGGGCCTTCTGCAAATGAGGGCCCTGAAAATGAGAGGCAGGCAGCATGGCGTGCATATGCACAGCCAGCCACAGGCATGCAGGTGACCAGGAGCCTGGCAGAAAGCAGCTGTGTAGCCCAGCTGAGAACAACTCCATGCACAGTGCAGGTAAGTCTGTGGAGGGGAAGATAAGGCATGCAGAGGGAGACAAATCGAAGCCCTCACATTAAGGGAGGGGGCAGGGGCTAAGGCTGAGGCTGGGGGCATGGTGCTGCCCAGCCCTAGCCATAGCAGGGCAGGGAGCAGGATGGAGGCATGGGCAACTCGTCCATCAGGCTGGGAGTGGAAGGAGGGGCAGCTCCCTGTTGCTGTGCACACTCCCAGGTAGGGGGAGGCATGTGCCCCCCAGAATTGTGCATGAGGTGGAGGCAGTCTGCACACTGTTTGCTCAGATTGCTCTGCCCAGGCAGGGTGCATAGCCCCAGGGCAAAGGCAGCAGTGCAAAAAGACCCAAGGAAAATACTAGTCTGAGCAGTTGAGCAAATTATTTTAAAAGCTTCATGTCTGAAGCTAGGCTCCTACGTGAATGGGGTGCTTAGCATACTTGAAAAAACTTCAGGCCACTTATCTAGATACCCAAAGTCTTTAAAGCCTAAATTTAGGGCTATATGTTTTTAAAAAATGCAGATGTACACTTTTAAAAAAGGGGACAGCCGCCAAAAGTCTATCCATAAACAGACAGAATTAAAGAAGAATCAAACTGGCTAGGAGGCATGCTCCATTGTCCTTGTAGCTCAGTACAAAGCAAATATAATCAGGTTGGTAAAACCACAACTATAATCTATCTTTTAATAAACCAACTAAAATGATTGGAAAAATTCTTCTTTGCAAGCTTTCAGGTACAAACACCATTGTTCAGGCAGAGGAAGAGTCTGCAGGTGTTTTGTGCTCTTCCTGGATGGCTTATCCGAGAAGCTAAAATGCAATATGGCAGTCGGTAAAAATGCAAATTGTGGCAGACAATGGGTGAGAAACAGGTACTGATGGAGGGAGGCTCATGTTGACCTGTAGGTGGAGTCTTTGGGTAGAGGCAATATCTTTTATTAGACCAACTAAACAGTTGCAAAAAAGCTGTTATTTGCAAGCTTTTGGACACATGTCCTTCCTCAGGCAAAAAAAAAAAGAAATAAAAAATGGTGAGAGATATGAAAGATGGTCAGAAATCCCTCAGGTATGAAAAAAGCTAGTCTTTAGAAACCTGTTTTGCAGAAATGCAAATTTAGGAGGGTTGCAGGGAATAAAAGCAGGTTCTTTACCTGTAGGTATCAGATGTCAAAAGGGGGGGGGGCATAAAATCAATATTAAAATTAGTCTTGGTTGTTGAAATTGGCTTTTTGAAATTTACCTGTAGCTAGTAAATTGTAGAGAGGTACCTGGGGTATCAGATGTTAGGCAGGTCATAATGTGCCATAAGTCCAAGCCTCAAAGGGAATTTACAAAACTCCTTTTGCAGATGAGCCTTTGGACTTCACTTTACCAACTTAATGAATACAAAAAATAGACAGTTGGGCTGAAAAATATTAAAACATTTAAGTAGTCTGTGTACTTAACCAAGTGGCAGATAACTGATGTCCTCAGTGTGTTCAAAGCAAAGAAGAAATACCCACTGATGAGACTGCAAGAGGCTTTAAATAATAAAGCCCAACATTTGTTGCCTCTTTTGTCCCAAGGTGCCTAAGGCTAGGAACAGAAATTACACATAAGCCAGTTTAAGTGACCAGAAACTTAGCACAGAAGCTCAGTGCACATAAACCAGTTTCAAAATGGCTGAAATTGGTTTGAGATAATCCTGGGTGAATGTAATAAATATCAGACTTAACTGATTTGGGTCCAACTGGTTTATGAAACTTGTGTACCAGACCCTTTCCTGGCTCAAGTTAAATCATAGTCCCCTGGCATGTCAGCATGCTTTACCGCCCTGGGCTAGGGTGTACTGTCTGCTCTGGAGAGCAGAGCTGGCTGAAAAGGGAGGGGGACCCATATGAGGATGCAGGAGAAAGGGGGGATGCCCCTGCCCCAGGCAAACCCTGCTGGGGTCTAAACACCCTTTTCCCAGATCAAATTTACTGCTGGTTAAGACTGTAGACTACAACTCCCAGAGGCACCTGGAAGCAGGAAGAGGAAATGATGAGCAACCCTGCAGAGTCCTGCCACTGTAATTCTGGACTGCAAATCCCGGAGACCTCAGGGCAGCAGAAAGAAGAAGTGAACACACGGTGCTCTAATGCCACCCCTGCCCCTGGCTTCTGGCCTGAGCCACTGCAGTCATTTGGCTGCATTTCCTGAATCAAATGTAAATGTCTGTCCAGTTGTTTTTCAGTTCAATCTCTGCAGTTTAAACTAACCTGCAAAGACTGAATCAATTAGCTTTGGACTTTTTGACAGGCTGCACTTAGCCTAAAACACTGTAGCCATATAGTCTTTCATAGGCCCTGCCCTGGGCAGAGGGAGAAGAGCTGGGAGCCTGGCACAGAGACTACCCAGCCCTGAGCAGCCAGGAAGGCTTACACCTCCCCTTCAGCCTCAGCCCTGCTGGGCAGGCTTAGGAAGATGTCCCTTGGCCCCTTGGCTCTGGGAGTGGGTGGTGGCACTTTAATTAGAGTGACTCTGAGAGTTGCTCTAATTAAAGTGCCACAGTCTCTCATGTGTCAGGGTCCCCATGCTTAAAAATGGTGGTGGCAGCACTTAAACTAAAGCTCATTCAAAAAATTTTACTTCAAGAACCCCTGCCACCATTTTGAAATACCAGGACACTGATATATGGCAAAATTAAGTAGTTAATTTTGATATTACGTGTTGTACTTTATTTATTAATGTACCATGTAAACATTTAATGGGTCTATTGATGCTTTTTGGTACATTCATGTTTATAATGGGGTGTAGGGGGCCTCCAATTTTCTGTTTGCTCAGAGCCCCAATAAATCTTAATCTGCCTCTGCTCCCAACAAAGGTTTGGAGGCCCAAGTGGGACAAAACTTGCCCTGGGGCAAGCCACCCCGCTGCAGTGATATAACTGGTAACATCTACAAGGCCTGGGCATGGCTATAGGGGTAGAGGAAGGCATGAACACAGCACTTAAGGCACCTCCTATCCTGGGACACTGATAGGGTTGAGAGGCCACGATAGATCAGACCCAGGCAGCCTGGCAGTAGACTGAACTCTCTCTGGGCCTCTGGGCAGCTTCCCAACCTTTCTTTTTCAGTTCTGGGCGCTGCACTTCAGGAGGGATGTGGACAACATTGAGAGGGTCCAAAGGAGGGCCACTTGCATAATCAGAGGGCAGTAGGGCTGGCCTTACAAGGAGAGGCTACAGGACCTGAACCTGTTCAGCCTACACCAGAGAAGGCTGAGAGGGGATCTGGTAGCTGTCTATAAACTTACCAAGGGGGACCAGCAGGGAACGGGAGATACCCTGTTCCCCAGAGCACTACTAGGAGTAATGGCCATAAGTTGACTAAGAGTAGGTTCAGGCTAGACATGAGGGAGCACTACTTCACAGTCAGGGTGGCTAGGATCTGGGACCAACTTCGAAGGGAAGTGGTGCTCGCTCCTACCTTGGGGGTCTTCGAAAGGAGGCTAGATAATCACGTAGCCGGGATCGTTTGACCCCAGCATTCTTTCCTGCCCATGGCAGGGTGTCAGTCTTGATGTTCTGCTCAGGTCCCATCCATCCCTACCAACTATGAAACTATGAAATTTTTCTAAACACCATCAAGGTGCGACAGGCAAGTGGGAAGACAGGGCAACCCAAGAGAGCAGAGAAGACAGGAGTAATGTGTCCACTGGAGGGTGCTACAGCTCCACTGGATGCAGGTCCTGTTGCAACTAGTTATCACTAATTTCTGCCAACATGTCATTCACATATTACACTGACTGACTAAATTTGGAATTAAAAAGTAATAGAAGCTGGTATGGACATTCTCAGTTCCTCCTAATGTTTTCACAGCATCATCTCCATCTTATCTGGCTGAGCATCCCTTTCTGTCCTTTTTGGGGGGCCTTAGATTCACCTAGACAACTGAAATGTCAACAGACTCCACAGAGTCAAATTATTAAAGACATAGAGCTAAGCCCTGATCTCACAAAATACTCTCAGTGAAATTCATTATTATATTGTTCTGAAGCCACACTTCCGTGACTGAGTCCCATGGGGATTCCCGACTATCACAGATTGACTTATCCAGACTCAAATTCCAGCTCTCCCAGTTCATTTCCTCCAGGGAATAAATACAGTTTTAAAATAAAGTTCTCCCCTTCCAGAGTGCAAACACAATCCCAGGATAGGCAGAAGTCTTTTCACATGACATTTTGACTGGTAGCATCAGTCATCCTCAGCTCTCTGGTTTCTCTTCCTGCCCTGTATATAAAGTATTTGGACCCAGTTGTCCTACCAGCTTATGAGACTTTTATCCCTCCTGGTCTTTCAATTCCATCAACTAATACAGGATAAGGAAGGGCTTGGGTGTTGGACTTTCACTGGATGAAACCTTTGCTCCAGCCTCCACAGGTTCCTCAAGGTCCAAAGAGACTGTATACCCTAGAGCAGGCATAACAAAGATATAGCCCCCAACCAGATCTTGTCCATCATCTGGCCCCCAGTTCTGCCCCTGGGGCTGTGTTGACCCATACACCACTGGACAGGCCTCACATACAGGGCCTGGGACAAATGCTGTATGTGGTACCCACACTGACCAGTCCAGAATCCACACTACTCATGGCCGCTGCCCCGGGACCCTCACCAACAGATGCCAGACCTATGCCACACAGTGTCCACCCCACCCAGTCTGGGACTTACCCACTCCAGACCAAAGTAGCTGGAGTGGATGCTGCATAAGGTGCAGTCCCCAAACAGCCCAGAGGAAGGGAGAAAGTGGGGGGAACTGTGGGACTCCCCATATAGAGTGTCATGTGTCGTGGGTCCCAACATGTTCAAACCAGTGTTGTGTGGCATGGGTCCCAACATGAGGTCCACACATGCTAGATCCAGCATAAGTAGACCAGGCTGTCTGTGGGCCCAATACATCCCATGAAGCCCGCCCATACCTCCATCCAGCCTGTGAGGCCAAGACGAGTTCAACACCTGGTGCATGAATTACCATGAATGAAATTATCATGCGTGAATTATGAGGCATGAGCCACATCGCACCCTAACCCAGGTCTGGGCATCTACCACTTGTTCCTGATGCTATTCTTTCCAGTCCATTTTGTGAATTAGGTTAAAGGGTAGATGCAAAGCCAGGAAAGGCTCATAATTCAATGCAACATCCCATCGCCTCAGGGGGAGAGGCAGCCAGTGCAAAGCCTACCTCAGGAGTGCCAATGCTTCTTTGAACACGTGCCCCGACCCCTTCCATCTGCTCCTTGCTCGCAACAATTTTGACAACCTGCCTCTCAGCGGCCATCCCTCTTTCTCCAAGAAGACGTGGTTTCCAGGACTTCCAAAAAAAACCCAAAACAAGCTGTCAAGGAAAGAGATCCTGTTTTTAAAATGCTGCCAGCATATCCTGGAAAGCAGAGAGCATCCCCCCCCCCACACACACACACGAGCTGACAGATCAAAACACCCCATTGCAAAGGGAGATGGGAAAGCAGCAAGAAAACAGAACCAGAGCACAAGTTCATATCAAGGACTTGGCTTTTCTTTCCTTCTTCCGCCCAAGCAACCTGCAGCTGGACATGATCTGAGGCCCACAAATCCCCCACCACTACCAGGACACAGTACCTGGCTCTTCCCCACTCTCTAGCTGGCCAGGGTGAGAGTGTGGCCAAGCCCAGCCTGCCGCTCCCTGCCTCCCTTCCTCCCCTGGGAAGACCAGCTCAGCATGATGCAGCACAATCTCAGCTCAGCAAGCAGCTGCAACACAAGGCAATGCAGGGAGGAACATGGGGCCTTTCAGCTGCAAATCTCTCAGGGAAAGAAAGGAGCAGGGCGAGGTGAGGTGAGGGTTGTCCCTGCCAGGGCTTGCACGCACCCCCAGCCAGAGCCCGGGGGGTGGGACATGTGCTCTCTCATGCACGCACAGGCACACATACACTCTCCCTCTCCCTCATACACATCCCCTCTCTTGTACACACCACTCTTCCACACATCCACCCCCTGTTCTCTTACAGACCCTGTCCCCAGCACACATGCAAACACTCTCTTGCACACATATACACACCCACCTCTTGCACACTTGCAGCTCACCCCCTTTCTCTCATATGCCTCCTGCACCCATGCACCCCCTCTCTTATACACGTTTAGACACCCTCTCACACCCCCCTTACATGCCTTCCTTTTCTCTCACACACCTCCTACATCTGTGCAACCCCTCTCTTACACACTCATTTACACACACACCTCTCACATGCACACACACCCTTACATCACCCCTTTTCTCTCACATGCCTCCTTCACCCATGCATGTGCCCCCTCTGTTATTCACACATTTATACACACACCTCACACACTTACACCCCCTTACATGCACCTCTTTTCTCTCACATGCCTCCTACACCCATACACCCCCTCTCTTATATGCTCATTTACATACACACACCCTTCACACACACCCTTGCATGCACTTCTTTTCTCACACACCTCCAACATCCATTCACCCCTTCTTACACATGCGTTTACATAACCCCCTCACATGCACACACCTTCTTACATGTATTGCCTTTTTCTCACATGCCTCCTACACCTGTGCACCCCCTCTTATACACACATTCACACACGCCCCCACACACTCCCATACTTGCACACCTTTTCTCATATACCTCCTATATGCACCCCCT